AAAGTTTGAAGTTTTATATTTTTCAGGAGTATGTTTACAAGTTTATTGATCTCTTGAGCAAATTAGCTCATCCACTGACAATGGCGATATCCATTTATGGCAACATAAATTAATATTTATAACCGAGAATTTTGACAATTTAATGAACTAAATTATTGTTTTTTTGTTCACAAAATTTTTCTCTTTGTAATAAATGACCCGTAAGTAGATGACAGACATCATTAAAGTGTTTATACAAAATTCGCGATGGATGTTCATCAGTTCCAGTGCATTAAACATTTTTCTCTGCCACAATTTCCGTGGCGAAATGTTTATTTATCAATATTATAAAAGATATTAAACACTAAACAACTTAGTAAGGTAATAGTTGGCGCAATTGTTTACGCTCCATATGCTGTAAGTGGCTACCTGATAACACCAAAACATCCGGTAATTAGTGTTTAAATATCGTCCAAAACAAACAGTGGGTCTGCCGGCATGATTTTGCATTTTTTATACACTTTCAAGAAAATGTGTCCAACTACTTATTAGCAAAATTGCTGAAAAACATATATGTTATTGTTATTATATATACTGGGTGCTTCATTTTGTTGCCAAAATTACTTCACATATACTATGTATATGTATGGATCTTTTAACTAATTTTACTTAAGGACACATTTTTGTACAAATTTTGACAATATTAATTTGTCACTGGTTGCTGGCTGATTTAACGATTTAACCTACACAGTGATATAATGCAGCAATCATTATCAAGAATCAACATAGGTAAGCACGAAAATAAATTTCAACTATCATAGCTTTAAACAGTCAAAATATACACTTTTACGATGTGCCATTGAATGTGTATTACATTAATTGTGGGAACGTTAAAATAACTAGTCGTGGAAAAAAAATCACAATGAAAGTTCTGATTGTGCAAGGCGACTGCTGAAGCAGAAACTACTTAAATAAGAATTCTAAAAGGCAATTGTAAAGCACAAAGAAAAATTAACCAAAAGTTTTTTAAAAACAATAGACCGAAATTTGTAATTTAAAACTAAAAGTAGATAAATTAAATGACGCATGTTGACAAAAAAATATATAAAAAGTAGAATTTATATGACTCTTTGAATAATTCCAAAAAATACATGTGACTTTTGGATGACGGCGATAATGTTGATATAAGTAACTGTGACGATATAGTAGTAATATACAGCCAACAGCATTTATTTCTTACGACAGTTAATGTGAATATTTGCAACTTAATTTTAGGTACTTACATAGAAATAATATCAGTTTTTTGTGTGAAGAAATGTCAAGCCTTATTGCATAATTAACAGTTTGTCAAGAACCTTAAGCTATTAAGAAGTGTTTCTTGTATTATTTATACCTCTTAATAGATACATACGTTGCTCATTTGATGTTACAATGTTACATAAGAAGTGAAAACAAAGATTACAACAGTGTATATCGGTTTTAACTTGTAGTGGAATTGTGAATATTGTAATGCATTGACATGTACGCTGCAATTTTGAAGGTGCTTACATTTAAATCGCTGATTCAATTTGAACTCTTATTTTCATGAAAATGTAAAAATAGTACGAATAAATGGGTCTTTCGTTTTCGTCTCTCTGTGTCTGCATATTTTGATCTGTGGCTGTGCTAGTTATCTGTACGTGCTTAATAATCGAACTTTTTTGAAGTACAAAGATAAACAATCGAAGTTAAATATGTATGTACTGAGAATACATTTATCCCATCGGTTATCTCCTTTAAATGTATTTCATATTGCGTGCACTTATTTGCGTCCCTGGATAGCATCCTTCTTTACCTGTACTTTTACAGGTCAGAGACATATTTATTGTAACTTATAGGAATTGTCATAAAAAAAATTAGAATTCGCAAAATTAATTTATATAATTTTTCGAAGAAGTTGTATTTGTTCGACTGTACTTTAGGGACGAAGGAAGTTCTGTCTAAATAACACTGGACTATTTTTTTGATCAATACCACGTGTTGACCTTGTAACTATTACTACACGAAAAAGCTTCGTTGACAAATATTAGTTGTACATCCGTTTTTGTCCGTATATGTTTTATTTGTATACACAGGATGAGTCACGAAACACACATTCCTTGATGTCTCAAAGTCAAAGGCCAAATTTTTACGGTTCTTTGAAGACTATACTTTAAAATTATTTTTAACTATACAGGGTGTTGTTTTTAACGTGTAACTCACAACTTGTTTTTTTAATGAAATATCGTATATATTTTCAGATTTTTACATATTTTGACTGACCTCTTCTCAGGATTTATAACTACAAAATTGAAATATCGATTTTTGTAAACTTTTAGAATTTTTTAAAAATACTTGGTATATTAGAATTTGTTTTAATTAAAACTACAACAAAGCGCGTACCTTTATTTATCCTTCCACAAAATGTAAAACAAACTTTAAACATAACCCTATTGCGAATTTTTTTGTGAACCCTTTCATCGCAAAAAAAATTTCAAGAAAATGGAAATAACATGACAACGTCGCATCGGAATTTCAAAAATAAACTGTAGTTATAAAGGCTAGGGAGAGGCTAATGAGAATATGTAAAAATATATACACAGGGTGTTTCATGAAAACAAAAACTTCTGAGTTACACCTTAAAAACAAAACTCAAGTAATTTTAGAGCACAATCCTTAAAGAACCGTATCACTTTGGTGTTTGAATTTTTATTGTATCTCTATATAATTAATCACCGCGCGCTTAGTGATTCACGCTGTATATAAGAAACATTAGAAATATAGTATGTTCATTATATCGTCATTAAAAAAGTGGTATAAAGTTATTCAAACAGAACTTCCCTCACCTCTGAAACACAATCAAAAAAGCCAAATTTCTTAAATTACAAGTAATTTTTTATCAAATAAAAGTATTAATAAAGTACAGTCAGAGAAGCCCGTTATGTTTTGCTTGAGATTTACAAGTTTTGTGATGAGGTCATTAACTTTTTAGTACGGAGAAATAAATAATGTACAGTATTTTGCATATTTGGCTTAAGAAAATCTTGAGATGACGTCATGACATTTTCGAAGGAGATGAAAGGAGATTATCAATTTTGGTTGTCTTTTTACTGTCTACACGGCATTCTTAGAACATATTTAAACTTCCATAACAATTTGTTCAGTGGTTTTGGAAAACGCTTGCATAAAATATAATTGTGAAAGCAAACGAGAGACCTACTCTTTGATGTTCTATATACAATCCTTTATTTTAGTACTTTTTGTCCTACTCTTGGTATATTTTTATTTTAGTATTGTGGTATCTTTAACTTGTAATGTGGGTATTACGTTAATTGAATAATTAAACCTCGTCATTATATTACATAAGTTTTTTCTTTGTTAATAAAAACAGAATTTTGTTTATTTAAAACTATTAAACTTTTCTCCAATTTAGCAAAGGTTTTTAATCGTTGATTCAAACAGCAGCAATAATAACAAAACTTTAACGATTGCTAAGATCCTAAAAATTATTGCATAACATTTTCACCTTAATAATTTAAAATAGGATGCTGAAGCCAATTCATCATTTTTATTTTATTTTATTTTTTGTACAGGTCTTACGGTAAAATCGGTTTTAGCGTTTTTTTTATAAAAAATATTACAATCAAAACTAACGATTAGTCTTTAGTTGTACTAGATTTTAAAGTGACATTTTCAAAAGATATAATGCTTATAAGCACTCAGCTGAAATGAAACGGCCTGTACAAATGTACGTATTGTTATTTCATATTATAAAACATTCTTGTTTTCTAAAGGTCAGTGAGTGGGTGATGTTCCACATCAAAGCAGTAAAAAAGTTTCAATTAGGTATTGAGCAAATTTCTCCACATTATTATTACTATTATTTCAATCGTCACAATACAGAACTAGTCACAAACGTGGGCGTTTCTGTTTATCTGATAACATTTTGGGTATGACTAATTTCAAAAAGTTGTTAGATAACGTAATTTCACCACATTTCTTCCCTAATTATCCCGGAATCTCATAAATGCGTTCCTTCCACGTGATGCATGGCGATAAATTCTTGGAAACGAAACGAATTCCTCAACTCTATTACCATTTATTGCTCCTTTTATGGCTGACGTCCAACCCTTCGTTTTTTAAGTAGCTTATTACATTACTTAAGTCGGTCGCTACATTCATGAAATTTTTGACATAACTCTAAAACGTCGATATTTTTTTACAAAACTGGAATTACTCAGTTTCTTACCATTGTTTAATGCATCTCATGTACTTTACGAAAAACAATGCACGTTTTAAATGTGGCGAAGCGGCTCCATTGTTTTAGCGCACTGCTGGCATTCGCAACACAATTAAATTTTTCTTATCAAAAAATGTAGGTGTAAAAATGGTTAGTCGATTAAAAATCGCAATTTCCACCGTACGTATTACGGAAACTTTCTTTTTAGGTGAAATTACCGAAACAGGTAGTTTAATTACATCCACCTACCTCTCACAAATTCACGACGACTTCGTAGTGCGTTACCACAGTTATTGTTGAATATTAGATTAACTTAGGGGAGCAACACAATAATTTAAACCAATGAATACTAATCTCTGCTAATTTAGTAAATTATGTACTTTGGGGCTTAGAACTAATGCACCTTATCAAATGAGAAGTAGACACTTCGTACAAAGGTGTTAATTGTTCCAAAAACAAAGAAAATTATCTAAATTTGTTGATTCGGATCAAAACAGTCCGTAAGTAGCACGGAGACTCTCATTCAAGAGAAGAAACGACTTTACCTAATATCTTACCTGATTGTAAATAAAAAAACAGGTGTAATGCAGGTTAGGTAATTTCTAACATCCAAGGAGAACCCAGATTTTCTAAGTGAATTTGAACTACACACCACTGGTCCATACGATCATTCCACACTTTCGATAATGTTTATGTTTGAACTGAACCGGAATAAATAATAAAAGAAATTAAAAAACATTTGTTTGAAAGCACGAGCACTCACCTGCCGCTCTGTGGAAACGGACTGAAGAATCAGTGGGAAGAATTTGACGGTGATGTTGGAGAGTTTGCGCAGAATTGAGTTTCACCTGTGTTCAGCGACACTCAAACGGTTGTAGGCGGACAGACCGAGAGGAGGAACGAACTACCAGGCTTGAGAAAAATGTTTTTTGTGGTGAACTACAGATTTAGCTGAGCTTTATCAATCGTATCAACTGCACTTTATTAAAATTCTCGGTTCTCAAATAAGATAAAGGCGATAAGAATTGTTATTTGCGATAGTCGCTTGTTTTGGGTTACGAGACGTGTGACATTTACCTGAGGCCGGGCCGGAATTAAAGTTGCATAAAACTTTATGCAACAAGCAACTTTATAGTTTTAAAAAGTTTGTAGACAAAAATATGAATGGGCTATTAATAATGGAATGATTTCAAAGTGCATACCTCATAGTTAAATTTTAGTGGGTCGGGTTCTTTGAAGGTTCCGAAAGAAATACATAAAGGTTTTTTTTTCTAGATATGAAAGAACTTTTTAATAGCTTGTTGAATGTTGTAATGTAAGCTCGGGTTTATTTTATTTGGGTTTCAGTTTCAGTAAGGGGCGGAATTTGGGACGAGTTTTACAGGTTCCTTTTAAGTCTTTAACACGGTTGGTAACTAAAAACTTCGCTACCTGAGGTAGAAGAGACGATTAACCCTGGTGCTTAGTACTCGACTTATGCATTTTTGAACCTTTTTTACTTTAAATAAAAGGAACCTAGACAGATACCCTGTTTTAAAACAGATATTTTTATTTCTACATCGTTTATAAATTGGTAGTAATAATTGTAAAATGTTGCTATAAGAATGTTTCTATAGCCCTTCCCCTTAAATTATACATGTTTGATAAATATAGTTTGTGATGCCACATTTGAATGGATGATTGAGGACCTGTTTTTGACAACCCGATCAAAATAGCAACTGACCTGAATTTTTCATGATATAAAGTTGCATGCGCAGCGAAAAAAAGAACTAATCACATTAAAATAATTTATTATAAATACACACTTATTTTCTCATAGTTTTGACACTCACGAATTCATGTAATCAACCTTGTCACTTGTACCTACCTACTACGAGTACAAATTAAAATAATAAACTTGTGATAGACAGTAGGTGGCCTAAATCAATCAAAATATCGAACAAAATAAGTAAAATGAAGTTAATATATTATATTTTATGACCATATTTAAAACTTGATTCGAAAAAATTGATGAAGCCATTTAAACAAAGCTTCCTTATCCCCTGAAGGTCAATACAGTAAACAAATTTAGTTTCTTAGAAAAATTATCAAATTGATTTTCCTGATAAATAGGCTGATCAAAAAATCGCGCACTATGTTAGGCACTGTTTACTGAGCAAGGAAGAATTAATTTAAAAAATCCTTGGGCCCCAGTGTAGAAGATGTAGGCATTCAAAGTTTAATTTTCCTTTTCGATATTTCTTCATATTTTAAATAATTCCCCACTTAATGTTGAGTACATGAAATCGATCGGACTTTTTTCAAAATAATTTTGGAAATATCACATCTTTTATCCATCTTTTCTTTATTTTATCATACATAAAAATATTATGTTTTCTCGACAGTTCATAACCCCTGGAATACACTTATCTGTCCGTGTGTCATCTGTCACCTGTTCGCGTCTGTGTCCCCACCAACAATGATATAACGTCACCTCCAACTTTTACAATAGTAAATGTTATTTAAATATTATAAAATAACATACTCCTCCACTTGCAATTTATGAATAGGTGTTTAGTTTTTACCCTAGGCATCCAGATTTTTGTAAAAAAATCAAATTGTATAACATTTTACAATTAACCTTTGAAATTTCAAAACCGCAAACATTTTAAGACCGTCGGAAACATGGTAAATCGTTCATCAAAATTTATCTACTTACGACTCCCCTAAAAACTGATGACGTCATCTTACAGTTTTGCCAAATAAATGTTATTTGAATTTTTTAAAATAACATGCTGGCATAGGTGATTTATGGAACCATATTCAGTTAGAATGACATGCAAATTTTTGGAAAAAAATCAAAATTGTGTAAAAACATTTTGCATTTTAAACGCTGATATTGTAAAATCGAATATTCTAAAATCTTGCAAACGTTTTACGGCTATCGTAATAAAATAAATAGTTAAATCAAAACGTATCCGTTTGCCCCAAAATTAATTTTGATCACATCATGTCAAAATTTTTACATAAAAAAAATTCTCAAAGTTAAATTTGGTAATTTTTGAAAGCTGTATTTTGTTGGACTATATTTTAGGGACCATTCTTTTTTAATCTGATTTAATCTATCGGGGCCAGAAAATCGTGGACTTCATTTATCTGTCATTTTGCGAATTTTGATGTTCTCTATGCTATATTTTCACTTTGACGTTTGAAGTTTAAAAGATTTGTCACGTCGTATCCAGTATCAGCATGCCCACAATATCAAATATGACAAGAATACAAAAATAAGGTTACAATAGTTAAAGGTGCTTGTGACAGTAGAATGACATTGACGCCCAAAATTTTCTGGCAGAGACTGTAGATCGATATTTTCTCTTTACAAATTGCAAATTGACAATAATTATTTACTGATTTTTTTCGAAATTAAAAATATGTGAACATGATAATGTTGAGTTAGTGCGTCATTTTGTTTATCACCCTGTATGTTAAAATAAAAATGTGGGTGACTTGTTACACTATACAGGTAAAGCCGTAAACTATGTTATATATTTCAAGAAAGACTTTTTACTTCCCGAGGGTAAGCGAAGGAAGTAATCGAGTCCGTCGGCCGACTGTCCACTTTTGCGTTTCCTCGACTTTTCATGGCCCTTAGAGTACGAAGAAATAGGTCTCCCGTTTCCGTCTGACCGTCTGTCTGTCTGTCTGTCTGTCCATATGTTCGTCTGTCTGCCGTCCCGGATTTTTATTAGGCAAAAAATCTCAGAAATTACAATTGTTGTCAAATTTTATAGTCAAACGCTAACCAAAATTTGTCCTATACCTGTAGTTTATGACTCTGTGTTCAGTTCTTACCCGAAACGTCCAGGTTTTTGGAAAAAAAAATCAAAATTATATAATGATTTTTAATCAAAATATGTTCATTTACTTATCCCCTACAAAAAATTGATGACGTCCGCTCAAAAGTTTTGTCGAATAAATCCTGTCTAAAATCTACAAAATATGATGTCTGTAATTGTGATTTATCATACCATTCGTATTTTTTGGATGTGCATATACAGCGTGACTCAAAAGAATTAATGAATGCGTGAAATTATTTTATTGATTTAATCAGGAACTACAAAGTGTAACGCTTTCAAATCTTGGAGATATTTTAAAGTTATCATAAGCATGGTAAATTTTTGATCAAAATGTATTTGCTCATCCCCGCTAGAAAATTGATGATGTCACACCAAAATTTTGTTGAACAGATCCTACCTTAAATGTGCAAAATATGAGTCTTGTGATTTATCACTGTATTAATATTTTTTAGATTTGCTTATACGGGGTGTCTCAAAAAATTTAATGACTGAATCAATTTATTTTACTGATTAAATCAAGAATTGCAAAAGTGCATACTTTGAAATCATGCAAACATTGTAAAGTTATCGTAAGCATGGTAAATTGGTAATCAAAATATATCTGTTTATTCCCCCCACAAAATTGATGACGTGATCACAAAATTGGGTAAAGAAAAAACTCGAAAATACTGGATATGTTTCATTGTGCGAGGGAAGTTCCGTCGAAACAACTTTCGACCAATTTTTTAATAAACTATAATGAAATCATTAACTTTTTAGCGAAGAGAACTTTATCTACTGTCGTGCCCAGAAAATCTTGGACATTATTTTGAAAATTTTTATGCAATGTATTGTCACTTTGGCGTTTGCAGTTTAAAAGATCTATCACGTCGTCAATGTCCAAAATGCAAAATGATGAAACTAAAAAAATAAGGTTACAATATTTAAAGGTGACAGTGGAACGACTTGACGTTTAAGATTTTCTGACCGCGAGTGTATTTTTGTACAATACATTGTACACTAATAACAAAAGTATTGTTTACCTAGAATGTCGGTTAACCCCTTTTTGCTTTAAGGGGATGTTTGCTAAAAGAAAACTGTCGGATTTTTAATTTTGCCGTGTTATTGTCTTCACAAGAAGTTTGCGTGTAGAAAAATAAAGACGAGAAGTAGTGGTAGGCTGGTTGAAACTCAGGAAAGCTGGGGTGTAATTTATGACACCCATAATCTCTGGTAACAGTTCGGCACCCGCTTGTCGTGTATTATTGTTCGATTTTCGTTCGTCAACAGTTCAATTTTCATATACGAAAAATGACCACAAGAAATTAATAAGAAATAAAAATCTGAATATGTACAAAAATGAACTTCGAAAAATTAAGACAACAAATAGTAAGTCCAAGCAATTATAATCTAATTGGGAAACTGATTGATTTACAATAAAAAAAGCACTCAGCCGAATAATTATAAATGCAATTTTTCGGACACAAAACAATCACTTTCGGAACACTTAAAAAGATTTGTGGCAAGTAAAACAAAATCAATTTTAAGTGTCCAAATGGTTCTACTGATTGTGTCCCTATACTGAAATGCAACGAGAAAATCACCAATTTCTGCATCAGTACGTACCTATATGTCATGATGTAATGCAAATTATAAAATAAACTAGAGACCAATAATTTGTTTAGTTTTTATTTATGCGTATTTATAAATGTACCCAATTGTTTTACTTAAAACTAAGTACTTCAATTATTTGGTTTACATATTTCAATTATAACTGGTTCCCTAGCTGGTTAGTATCGGCTAAGTTCAAACTAAAGTGGTATAGAAACTACCTGTGTATACTGAATGGTTATCCGGCTAATTATAAGGTTTATGGTAATCTTTTATTCAACAAAATAAAATTCTTTCAGGTAATACACTTTGATCTTTGACAAAAAGCCGAGAAGCAATAGGATTGGTGATTATATAAAGTAACAATAATAAAATTTCTATTAGTAACATTGACTTACACTTTATGTAAGT